CCGTTTCTAGTTAAGGGGCCTCCCGACAATTGGTCTGTGTCTTCCTCAGGTTCTTCTTTTCTATTTTTGGACCAATCTTCCCATTTCATAGATTTCTGTCATGGAAAACTTTGGATTATTGTAAACGCTGATCTTGGAATGCTGAGATAAGACAATGAAAAAATAACAACTTTTTTGCCTAAATAATGCTTTTATGGTAAAAAGCATGCTAAATACTATTTATGCTATTTTTGTTTTTGAAACTTTGCTTGTGGTTGTTGGTCACACTCGGCGATGCTCAGGAATCACTCCTGGCGGTGCTTGGGGACCCGTATGGGATGTCGGGGGGTTGAGCCCAGGTCAGCCGCATTCAAGGCCGGTGCCCTCCCTGGTGCTGGCGCCCCGGCCCTGTCCTGTCACTTTTACTTTGGATGACGCCTCCCCTTTGGCGTACCTGCTTCCAGACTGAACCCTGGGCCTCAGCAGAAGCACAGCTGACTGCAAGGCTCTCACACCTGGCGTGGAGAGGGATGATGTCGCGTTTTGATTGATTGGGCCCATTTTGAGCTGCTGTGATGATTACTGGTTATTTAATGGGAATATAGTTACTCCTGATTTTTCCTCACTTTGCCTGTAATGTTCTTATTACCACGTAAATTTTCCTTGACAATTATGTGTTGTTTTAATCCTTGCAATTGCCAGGTGGAATCTTTTTTTTTTGGGTCACAGTTGGGTTTGTGTTCGGGTTTGACTCCTGATGGTGTGTGTGTGGGGGGTGTCTGTGACGCCGGGGCTTGAACCCGGGCTGGCCACAGGCACGGCCGGCACCTGCTCCGTCCTGTCCCACGGAGCCCTGGCGGTTTTCCTGAGCCCTTAGGATGGAGTGTGCTGTCTCGGAGCTGTGTTCTGCGCGTTGTGTCCGGCTGTTGTGTCCTACACTCCTGCTGTGTGTTTCTCTGCGACCCGCCCGCCCACCAGTGTCAGACTGCTGGTCTCAGGTGTGACCCGTAGCCCTGGCTTGAACTCCCCCTCGGAAACCGTGCGTCTCTCTGTTTAAAGGCCATTTTCTTCCTTCTCTTCTGATCATGTGTTCTTCTCATTGAGAATATATTTTTTTAAATTACATATCACGAGGAAGTTATTTTTGACAAGCTATCATCTAGTAAAAGGCAGCATGAATTTTCGGTTTCCACCAGTTCTTATTTTCTGGTTTTCGCACTCTGGATTCAGTCGAGGTCAGAGAGATCAGAGGCTGAAAACCAGGCGTTCCTGCAGCGTTCGCGGGGAACGGGCCTCAGCCCGGGAACGCCACTCTGCAGGCAGGCACTCCGGGCCCGCGAGCCGCTCTTGGCCGGGTCGAAGATGTGTGGCAGCAGCGGGCAAGGAAGGGTCGCAGCGGGACCCCTCTTGCATTTGTTCGCTCACAGGTGAAGAAGTTCTACCTCCCCTCCCCTCCCCTCCCCTCCCCTTGATCTCCGGCTTCCCGTAGGGTTCCCCGAGCACCGTTGGGAGTGATTCCCGAGTGCAGAGCCAGGCGTGACCCCAAAGGCCAAACAAACAAAAATAAACAAGGCTGGAGCGATAGCACAGCGGGTAGGGCGTTTGCCTTGCACGCAGCCAACATGGCCAACCCGAGTTCGATTCCTCTGCTCCTCTCGGAGAGCCCGGCAAGCTACCGAGAGTATTCGATATGCCAGACACAGTAACAACAAAATCTCCAATGGAGACGTTACTGGGCCCGCTCGAGCAAATCGACGGTCAACGGGAGGGCCTTTACCTTTACTTTACCTTTACCTTACCTTTACCTTATTAAAAAGGGAGGTTTTTCTGTAATGGTGCAAAGAGATCTGCCTAATTGATTTTAGTCGTTAGAGGCAGAGGCTCCCTGACTGAACGGAGTTTACGTTTTGTACATATTTCCTTTGGATCAGCTTTTGTTGAGCTGCAGCGAAATCCTTAAATAAATCTCTCCATGCCCACCGGTAAACAGAGTTCTCGTCGTGAAATTAAGTCGATGCTGTGGATATTTTATATTTTGGGAGGCGGTGCTAAATCGCCCTCCCGTCTGCAGAGACAGAGCGCAGGGGTGGGTCTCGTGCTTTGCCTGCAGCCGGCCCCGGGTTCCTGCCTGACACCACGATGGCTCCCCCTCCCCTCCGCGCCCCAGCACGGACTCCGGAGCACTGCGGGCCGTGGCCCCAGAGGGCAGAAGGGGGCGCTGTTCGCTGGCACCTCTGCCAGCTCTCAGGCGTGTCTTGATCTCGTGTTCCGTGTTTTGTCCTTCACTGTCGGGATTCTGTGCTCGGGGAGAGGAAGCCTCAGAGCCCGCGCCGGGCCTGCCCACATCCGTTACCTTCTGGTTTCGCCTCCGTGCGTTTGGTCTTCACGCCGTCCGTGAAGTTCACCGTGTTTCTCGTGACGGATTTCCCTCGTAACCCGACGGTTGCCGCCTCTTTCCGTGTGTGTGGCTCGATGATTGTCCTGTTGTTTTTGCTGTTGGGTGCCTCTGGAGAGGGACTGACGTGATAATCTCGCAGAACTCTTCAGTCGTTGGGTCGATTAATTTGTATTTCCCAAGGAGACGTTGGTAGCGTCCTTTGCTAACGATGACAGTCTTGTCTGTTTTCTTGAGCTAAAGCCTCTAGTTGGTTTATTGGCCTTCAGATTCAGGGTGATGTAGCGCTGGGCTTCAACATACAACGTTCCGACACCCGTCTCTCCACCCGTGCACATTTCCCACCCCCACCACCGCAGTCCACAGTTTCCCTCCCCCAAATTCCCAACCCCCCCGCCCCCCCCCCGTCTCTGTGGCAGGCACCGCTCCCCCCCATCTTTCTCTCTCTCTCTCTCTCTCTCTCTCTCTCTCTCTCTCTCTCTCTCTCTCACAATTCCAGCTTCTGTTTCATGTTATCATTGGCCTTTAGTTTTGAATGTGATTTTTTTTTCGGTAGCATTTTGTAGCAGATACTTCATGATTTTCTGGACCTTTTTATTTCATTCATTTTTAGTTCAATTCTTTGGTTATTGGGCCACACCTGGGGGTGCTCAGGACCTACCCCCGGCTCTACACTCTGGATCGTGGTGGTGCGGGGGGACCACGCGGGGTGCGGGGGGAGCCCGGGTGTGCTCAGCCCCGCCCTGAACTGCGCCTTCCCTGGCCTCCAGGGCGCTGCTGAGGGCTGGGGTCCAAGCACCCGCCGAGGGCCGCTGACTCGTGTCTGCCAACCCTCCGTGGTGCTGTCCTGGCTGTGTGCTCTGGGGACAGTGCTGCTGGACTGTGCTCTGGCTGTGTACTCTGGGGACATTGCTCTGGCTCTGTGCTCTGGGGACAGTGCTCCGGCTGTGTGCTCTGGGGACAGTGCTCCGGCTGTGTGCTCTGGGGACAGTGCTCCGGCTGTGTGCTCTTGGGGCTGTTGAGCGTAAGGTTTCTCCCTCCTGTATGTGGGTTGTGCCGGGCACTCCCCGCTGGCCACATTGGTGGCGGCTGCGCCAGGTCTCGTGGGGTCCCCTCCCACCGTGGTGCGGGCCCCTCCTGTGAGAGCCGCTTTGGCCTTCGAGCAGGGCCGTGGCCTGTCCTGCACGGGCACTGGCCCGGCGCTCTGAGCCTCTCCTAGTGGACCCAGCTCGGGGCAGGCCGAGAGGCTCACCTGCTCAGGCTGCCCTCCGCGCTCCTGCCCTCGCCCCGTCCCAGACCCCAACGCAGAGCCGACGAAGGAGATTTCTCCCTGGAGCACTGTTGGCCTGAGTCCCGCGGGCTTCACGATGCCGGCTTTGCCACTTCCCTACACTTAGTCTTTGCTTTTTACTTTATTTTATTTTTTGTTTTTGTTAATCAAGTAGTCAACAGGTCTCACAATGGAGATGTTGCTGGTGCCCGCTCGGGCAAATCGATGAACAGCGGGAGGACAGTGCCACAGTGCTAGGTTTTTGTGTCACACCCAGCGACGCTCAGGCCTGACTCCTGGCTCTGCACTCAGGAATTACTCCTGGCGGGGTCTGGGGACCCTATGGGATGCCGGAGACCGAACCTGGGTCGGCCACGTGCTTGGTCAGTGCCCTTCCTGGTCTCCTCTCTCCAGCCCTCACTCACTGACTGTCCTCTTGTCGCCTTAAGTCTTCTTGGCCTTTTTTTTTTTTTAGACCAATTTCTGAGCGTTTTGTGATATCTAAGTATAATTGTGGGATTGAAGTTTTTTTCAGTTATGTTTCTCGAAGCTTTGCTATTTGGAACATTTTTTTTTCTTTTTGGATCACATCTGGTGATGCTCAGGGGTTCCTCCTGGCTCTGCACTCAGGAATCACCCCTGACAGTGCTCAGGGGACCCTATGGGATGCTGGGACTTGAACCCGGGCCGGCCACGTGCAAGGCAAACGCCCTCCCCGCTCTGCTAGCGCCCCAGTCCCAGAACATTCGTATTTTTGATTGTTTTGTCCTTGAACTCGTGTCATCACGAAACTTTCTTTAATGAAGCATCCCTTTCCCGACCTCTCCTGTTTAGTGACAGCCGTGAGCGCCTCCGGGCATGAGGGTGCGGCCTTGTTCTCCTTTGTGTTAAAGGGTATAGCTCATGGACCTGCTTGTTTGGGTTTTGCCTTTGAAAGTGAAATCTGATAAACTGTAATTTTTAGAGAAAAAATAACTGTCAGTTCTTGTGGCATTGTTTGGCGTTTTAGTTAAATTAGCTCCCTGTGACATATACGATATGCCAAAAACAGTAAGAAGTCTCACAGTGGAGACGTTGCTGGTACCCGCTCTGGCAAATCGATGAACAACGGGAGGACAGTGCTACAGTGCTAGTGTTTCATGGCAGGGCTAGTTGACATTCTTGAAAGATTCCGTTTCATCTCCATGTCATTTAATAAGCGTGAGTGTGCTTATGAGGGAGTTGCCGTAAATGTCACTTGTTTTAATTTTAGAAAAAAAATTGCCCAATTTATTTTATTATACCTTCAGCTCGTGTTAGGTTGAGTGGAATTCTGAGCCCCACCTTTGACGTTTAATTATGTCTGTTTCTTTGTAGGCCTCGAAGTAGAGGAAAAACTGCAGTGGAAGATGAAGATAGCACCGATGGGCTGGAGCCAGCGGAGACGGAGAACATTGTGGAAACAGGTATCAGGACCTAACAGACCCGGGCGTTAATTTGCACGATTAGCGTTTGTCCGGATACTGAGTTAAAACATTTCCCTCTGATGAAATATCTTGCTAATAATGACAGTAAAATGAGTTCTCCTTTTCCCAGAATCTGGGTTTAGTAGAAATCATTCAATATCTGCCGTGGAATATTCTATCAAAGCAGAATTAAAACTGGAGTAAGCTGGAGCTGGAGTGATAGGACAGCGGGGAGGGCCCTGAGTTCAATCCCAGCTTCCCGGGTGGGCCCTGGGTCCTGCCAGGCGTGGCCCCAAACCAGCCAAGCATCCCAGTAGCCAAAGCCCCTGGAGTCAGCTCACCGCTGCCTCTGAGTATGATGCCTTGTTATGAGGGTAGTTTTGGCTTCTGAGTCACCTAGTGGTTTATTGTATGTGAGCCAAAACGCGTCTGAGGGCCCAGAGAGACAGTGCAGGGCCGAGGGCACTGCATGGGAGCCCCCGAGCACCGCTGGGTGTGGCCCCCAAAACACGACAAAAGATGTGGGAGCTAAGTACATGTGAGAATGAAAAATTATGTTCTGTTAGTGAGAGTATTGGCAAAAATCTTGGTTGATTCTGATTACATGGGCTGGAGAGATAGTCCAGCAGGCTTCTTTCTCCTGCTCTTGCCTTACCCGGGTTCGAGCCCCGGCACCTCATGTGGTCCCCCAGCCTGCCAGGAGGGCCCCTGACTTCAGAGCCCAGAGGAACCCTGGAACACTGCCGGCTGGAGCCTCCAAATAGAAATACTGAGCTGCCTGGTCGAACAGCCCTGTGGTCTGTGGGCGGGAGGGGCCTTGTGGGCTCCTGTGTCTGCCCGTCTGGGAAACTGGGGAACCGCTCGGGGGTCCCCAGCTGGTTCCAGATACTGGCCTAGTGAGTCGCTCTCACCTGTGCCCAGGGCACAGATCACGGTGCCGGGACGTCACGGCCGTGGGCAGGGTTGGTTCTTCCTTCTTCCTCCCGGGCCCCCGGCTGTCTCAGGGCCGGGCACTCCCAGCCCGGCCATGTGGATGCCAGAGGGAGCCCAGCTTGGTGGCCGCCCCGCCCCGCCCGCCCCGCCCCGCCCCGTCCCCTGCACACGCAGCCCGTGGTTTCATCTCTGGCCCTGGGCTCCCGCGTCCTCTCTTCCCTCATTCACATCTTTCTAAGTGGGGTTCATTCTGTCGAAACTTTTCTTACTTCACTTAAAAAAAAAATTACAGGTTTCAGGCTGGGCATGTAGCTCAATGGCCGAGCTCTTGTCTGGCATGTGTGACATCTGGGGTTCAGTCCTACACATGCGCAGACACACACACCGACACAAGGACACACACAGACACACAACATTTTTCTTGGTAGCAGACCCACTGCTGCTGTGGTCAGTTCTTTCTGGTTCACTGTCTTTTGCTTTTTTTTTTTTTTTCTGGAATTACTCCTGACGGTGCTCGGGGGACCATATGGGATGCTGGGAATCGAACCCGGGTCAGTTGCGTGCAAGGCAAACACCCTACCTGCTGTGCCATCACTCCAGCCCCTCACCTCTCACTGTCTTTTTCTGCCCCCGCCCATTTCACTGTTAAAATACATATTTTACCGTATTACTTTAAACTTGAAATTACCTGTTACTGCAGATTTTATCGCAGTATTTTAAGCTACCGAGAGTATTCGATATGCCAGACACAGTAACAACAAAGTCTCCAATGGAGACGTTACTGGGCCCGCTCGAGCAAATCGATGATCAACGGGAGGGCCTTTACCTTTTTATTTTAAGAGGGGTGCAACCAGTATATGAATTTTTTTCACTTAATCACTTAATCACTTAACTTCCCGTTAGTCGTCGATTTGCTCGAGCGGGCGCCAGTAACGTCTCCATTTGTCCCTGTCGCGTGCTAGTGTAGCCCAATGGCATCTGTTCGCTCCGGGAACATGGAGGGCCTCAAACCGATCGTTCATGACCTTGACAAAGAAGTCTGACCATCTGGTAGGTGGGCGGCCACGCGGTCTCTTGACATCCCGTGGAATCCAATCAGTAACAGCTCTAGTCCAACGGTCGTCTTTAAATCTCATTACGTGACCAGCCCATCTGATTTTCGACACCTTGGCAAATGAGACAGCGTCCCTGATCCTTGATCGTCGACGGATGTCAGAACTCCGGATTCGTTCTCTCATTTGAGTGAAACGTGATATTCCAAGCATAGCTCTTTCTATTCTTCTTTGGGAGACCTGAATGGCGTTCTCATCTTGTTTGCGTAGGGCCCAGGTCTCTGAGGCATATGTTAATGCAGGAAGAACAGTGGAATCAAAGAGATGTGCCCGGAGCCGGAGGTTCTTCGTCCTCTTGGCTATTTCTTCGACGTTCTTGAAGGCGTTCCAAGCCGCTCTCTTCCTCCTGCGCAGCTCGGGTGCCAGGTCATTTGTCATGTTGACCTCTCGACCTAGGTACACATAGCTGTTGCATTCGGAGATGGTCGTTCCATTGAGAGCGAATGGGGCGTCAGGAACAAGGCTGTTTCTCATAAACATTGTCTTCGTGAGATTCAGCTGTAGTCCTACCTTTCCACACTCACGGTCAAAGTTGGCCAGCATTTGTGCCGCTTGGCTGATGTTTGGTGTTATTAAAACAATGTCATCAGCAAAGCGGAGGTGGTTGATCCTGCCAGTAGCATGAATTTTTTTAAAAAAAATAATTCGGGTAGGGGTCAGAGAGTTTCAGGGGCCAGGACCCTTGCCTTGCAATGTCCCGGGGTCAGTCCCTAGTGCCACTTTGTCCCCTGAGCTCCAGGAAGGGACATCTCAGACAGAGCCAGGACTAAGCCCTGAGCACCACCAGGGGTGGCCCCAGAAACCAAAACGAAAACGAAATTGAGATGGCATTAACTTAGAAGTCATTCATACTGAGTCGTCTTTGGTGCCGTGTTAGGACGGACTGGACACTCCGGATCAGCTGTGACGAGACAAGCTGACGGGGGCGGGGCGGTAGTACAGTGAGGGGCCACGAGTCTGACCACCCCACACCCCCATCCCAGGACCCCCGGGGTGATTCCTGAGTGCAGAGCCAGGAGGAACCCCTGGGGCATCACCGGATGTGACCCAAAGAACAAAAACAAGCAACCCCCCCCATCCCCCAGCCAACATGCTGCTTCTTTAGTGGTGGTGCCTGAGCCCGCCCCTTGCACTGTGCACCCCCCCCCCCCCCCCCCCGCCCTTCCTCTGTGCTTGGTGGCAGCCTTGCCCAGCGAGCTCCTCGGACCCGCCCGTAGACCTCACGCGCCTCGTGCTGGGTTCTCCTCTGCTTTTCCTGGAATCGGTTGTTTTCTTCTGGGCCAAACCCAGAGGCGCTCCGGGCTGCCCCTCGGTGCCAGAGACTCACCCCTGCCCCACACACAGCTTGTCAGTCGCCCCTCTGCATGCAACGCTTCCCCCGGGTCAGAGCTGCTCCTTCACTGTCGTTACTGTGTGCCGGTGGCCTGAGCACGGCTGGGGGTCACCCCCGCGCAAACAGAGTGACCCCAGCTGGAGTAATGTCCCAGGCTGACGGTCCTGCGGTGGGTGCTGGTTCGGGGATGGCCCCACGCCCCGGGCAGTGAACGGAGAGAAACTCCTGCACGCTGACCTTGCCAGAGTCTCTTTCCGTGTTCTCCTTCTCGACGGGTCAAGTGGGAAGCGGAGACTGTGACCGACCGTGACGTTCTTTTCTTCTTCCCCTCTCTAGAGTCTCCTGTTTATCTCGTGGAGACTTTGTACCTGCCGTTTCTTGAGTTTCCCAAGTCATGGATTTCCTGCCTCAGGAAGTCTGTCTCTCAGTGTCTCTCTGTCTCTCTTTTTATCTCTGTCTCTCTCAGTGGGGAGCACCCCGGCTGTGCTCAGGGGTCACTCCTGGCAGGTTCCGGCGTCCTTCCCTCCTGTGCCATTTCGCCGTCCTGATTCTTTCTCTTCGGTACCGAAATCCCAGGAATTTTTGGACCACAGATTTTTGTGTATCAGTTTTGTAACCTGTACCTTACTGTATCGGTTGTTTCTAAGAGTTTATTTATTTATTTATTTACTGTGGAGTCTGTACGGTTTTCAGTATATAGTATTATGCCATCCATGAGTAGTGATGATTATTGAACTTCTTTTCCAGTTTGGACCTTTAAGACCTTTTTCTTTCTTTCTTTTTTTTTAATTAATTAGGCCCTCCCGTTGATCGTCGATTTGCTCGAGCGGGCCCAGTAACGTCTCCATTGGAGACTTTGTTGTTACTGTGTCTGGCGTATCGAATACTCTCGGTAGCTTGCCGGGCTCTCCGAGAGGGGCGGAGGAATCGAACTCGGGTCGGCCATGTTGGCCGCGTGTAAGGCGAACGCCCTACCCGCTGTGCTATCACTCCATACCTTAATTAATTAATTTATTTTTAAAAAATTTTTTAATAGTGAGACAGCATGAGGTACAGTTGCAGACTTACACATTTTTGTGCTTGGGTTTCAATTATACAGTGATCAAATACCCATCCCTCCACCGGTGCCCATTTCCCACCACCATGGACCCCAGTATCCCTCCCACCCCCCATCCCCCTAAGACCTTTTTCTTGTCTGATTGCTGTGGCACCTTGTAAGCTGTGTGGAGTACGCGTGGTGACCGTGGGCGCCCTCGTCACGTATTGAGGGGGGCAGGCATTTGGGTTTTCCCCACTGAGTGTGACCCTGACTGGGTGTGTTGTAAACGGCCGTTACTGTGTTCCTGTGTGCCTATTTTTGGAAAGTATTTTTTAAAATTTTAATTAAAAACAAAGTTGTTCGTCATACACTTGTTGCGAGGATTCAGCGTTCCAACAGCGCCTCCGCCAGTGTCCCCAGTTTCTCTCCTGGTCCCGTAGGCACAGGACACATTTACCTCTTATTGCTTATTCTTAAAAGACTTTTTTATTTTTCTTGCTTTTTTTGGGTCACACCTGGCGATGCTCAGGGGTTCCTCCAGGCTCTGCACTCAGGAATCACCCCCGGCGGTGCTCAGGGGACC